TTCTTTTTTTTTTGCTTTTTGGTTTTTGGTTTTCTAATATGTCATTTGGTCTATTAGAGAGAAAAAAAACACGTATTGAAGAGGTAATTAAAATACAGTGTCCAAGTCACTCTGGTTCATCATTAAAAAATTATTGTTTTTAACTAAAGCTGAAAAAACTGGCGATGTACTTTTGCTGTTGTTGTTGTTGTTGTTGTTGTTGTTGTTGTTGCTGATGCAGCTGTTGTTGTCACTGTCATTGTTGCTGTTGTTGTTGTTGTTGTTGCTTTTGCTACTGCTCCTGCTGCTGCTGCTGCTTAGGTTATTGTTGTCTTCTTTGTTGTTGTTGCTGCTGCTGCTGCTGCTGGTATTGTTGTTAATGATGCTGCTGTGATTGTTGTTACTGCTGTTGCTGTGACTACCCCTTTTACTTTCCGCTGAAACAGAGGGTGGTTGGAGGGAGCTACTTTTTTCCCCCGTTCCTTCTGTTGTTGCGATTAGGCGTGTGACGTACGCACGCAGAAGACTTGAGTTTGAGTCCTGTGTGGGGAGTTTGTTTTTTGAAATAGTTTTTTTTTTTCTTTTTTTTTTCTAAAAAACCCCATCCCTAAACAATAAAGTCAAACAAATAACCAAAAATAAAATGCGAGAAATAGTAATATGTGAGACGTGCTGACAAAATGAGTTACTTCTCACGATCCAAGAATGGAGATATCGGCTGACAATCGACACTGCGGTCAGATTGATAGATTTTCAATTGATGCTATTTTGTTCAAGTCTACCGTGTCTTTTACTATTCCATGCTCACAAATTGCACAAACTTCAGCTATCAAGTTGATGTGTCAGTTTCCATAATGCTAAAATCCGAGAAGTAACTCATTTTGTCAGCACACCTCATATATCATGTACTTAAAACTAACCCAGTGCATTATGATAATTATAGATTCCGAATGTACACCCTTTGACCTTTGAATTTTCGACAGCCTTGAACCGCGCCAGGTGACCTTCCCCAAGGACAAGCAGACGGGGCTGGGACTGCGACTGGCGGGCGGGAACGCCACGGGCATCTTTATAGCCAGTGTCCAGCAGGGGAGTGCCGCGGAGAGAGAGGGGCTGGTGGAGGGGGACCAGATTGTGTTGGTGAGTAGAGGGGAGAGAGAGAGAGAGAGAGAGAGAGAGAGAGAGAGAGAGAGTAAGATAGACAGATAGAGACAAAAATGGAAATATTTCGTTCTTCACTTACTA